AAATCGCTACGAACACTAAGGTTTTGGAAGGATTTCGTCTTGCGCGCGCGAATGTCCACTTTACCTTATTTTTTGCAAGGGATTCTTGAAGTTTGGTTATGTTAGAACAAGAAATGTCCACTTTGCCTTATTTTTTGCAAGGGAAAACCGCCCGTAACAAAACAACCGGATCCGGACCAACCCGTTTTGCCTGAGACTTCCTCACGAAAATGATGAAAACATGGCTGCGGCCTAGGCGCGGCGAGGGGGCCGTGCACCAGGGGCCCCAACAATAATTATTCTTTAGAAGTAATAATGTTCAACAACAACAACAACAACAACAACAACAACAACAACAACAACAACAACAACAACAACAACAACAACGCAACAAGCAGAATCCTCACCACGGATCCCCACTTCAGCCACGCAGCCAGGGACCATGAATGACCGTTCGGCCCCCGCACTCTGATAATACAGGCGAGCTCCCTGAACGTCCACAAGGGATACCTAATAAGGTTACGCGCTCCCCGAATATTCACAAGTCTGTCCCTGATTCCGCTCCTCACTCCTCTGCACGCCTCCAGTTGTCTCCGTCTCCCCCTCACTTTGACCATCATCGTTATCATCGTCAGCATCGTCATCGTCATCAGCATCATCATCACAATCATCATCATCATCATCATCATCATCATCATCATCATCACCATCACCATCCTCATCATCATCATCAGCATCATCATCATCAGCAACAGCATCATCATCATCATCATCATCATCATCGTCACCGTCACCGGTATCGTGATCGTCATCATCACCTCTCCATCGACATCACCATCACCAACCCCACCACCATCATCATCAGCATCATCGCCAGCAGCGTCATCATAATAAACATATTCATCATAACATTACGTGTTCAATGACATGTTCGAAGATCCGTCCGATGCCACAGTTTGAAGACGTGTTAGGCGAAACGCCTACTTTTGAGAAACAACCCGTTAAGAACAAACGATTGTTCTGTTCATTGAATTCACCGTTTCGGCCGTCTTGTGGGTCATGCCCGAAACATTTAAGAAGACATCGATGAGCACTTCTTCTGATATCCAATTTGCTCGAGGATGTATCAGGCGAAAACCTCATTTTCGAATATCTGACGATTACACCAGCGATTTCAACATCCCAATGTTGTGAAGATGTCTCAGGCGAAACGCTCAGATTGAATAAACGAGGTTGTAAACGATAGCCTCCGGCATCTAACTTCTTAGAGGATGTCTCCGGCAGAAGCCCCATCTTCCGATTCCAACATCCCCATTATCTGAGGATGTCTCAGGCGAAACACTCGTTGCCATTGGCATAAGACATCTAGAACGAGAGCCTCCAAGATTTCGATTTCGCGAAGATATCTCCAACGGAACACGAATTTTCCAAATCCGCCGCGAGAGCTCCCATGAGCAATCCCGCCGCAACTCCGCCACTGGACCCCTCCGATTGAAAAATATTTCCCCTCCGGGCCAGTGACCAACGCCCATCGCGCGACTCTTCGAGTCTAAGCGCGCTTCCCGTCACACGCCACGTCCATTCCCAGGAGCGATCTCGCCACCACTCCCCCCCTGGACTTCACCACTTGATAAATAAGTTCCATCCTGCCCGGCAACCAATCTCCATCGCGCGACTGCTCGAGTCGAAGCGCACTTCCCATCATCCGCCATGTCCACTTCCAGGAACGATCCTGCAACAACCTTTCTCCTGGACCCCTCCACTTGATAAATATTTACTCTTCAGGCCCGTGACCAACGTCCATCGCGCGACTCTTCGAGTCTAAGCGCGCTTCCCGTCATCCGCCACGTCCGTTCCCAGGCCCGCCACCTCTCCTCCCCTGGACCCCTCCACTTGATAACTTTTCTCTTCCCGGACCCGTGACCAACGTCGATCGTGCGACTCTTCGAGTCTAAGCGTGCTTCCCGTCATCGGCCACGACTCCATCATTTGCATTCCCGAACGGTATGTTTATTGAAATGCGTCTACAAAATTTGAGACATGTTACAGACTCAGCCAGAACGTCCGTCTCGCTTCTCGTTTCTCGAAGACGCTTCCCGTCAAAGGAATCCGCCACGACTGCATATTCTGCGATCCCGATCGGTATCGATATCAACAAGTTTTGAATAGATTTCGTATTCGGCCAGAGAATTCTACTCACCTCTCGGTCCCCGAAAACGCTTCCCGTTATCCGCCACCGTGTTCCACGGTGAGTCCCGCAGCCCTGAAGTCGAGAAAGCTAAGCCTGATACATCTCTGTATGCGCACAGATGCGTATTTATGTGTGTATATGTATGCATGTACGTATGCATGTATGTATGTGTATATGCATGCATGCATGCGTGCATGCATGCGTGCGTGCGTGCGTGCGTGCGTGCGTGCGTGCATGCATGCATGCATGCATGTATGTATGTATGTGTGTATGTATGTATGTATGCATGTATGTATGTATGGATGTATGTATGTGTATGTGTGTGTGTCTGTATGTATGTATGTATGTATGGATGGATGTATGGGTGGGTGGATGGATGGATGGATGTATATGTATGCATGTATGTATGTACGTACGTACGTACGTACGTATGTATGTATGCCTGTCTGTCTGTATGTATGTATTTATGTATGTATGTATGTATGTATGTATGTATGAATGTGTGTATGTATGCATGCATGCGTGTGTGCATGTGTGTATGTATGTATGTATGCATGCATGCATGCATGCATGTATGTATGTATGTATGTATGTATGTATGTGTGTATGTATGTATGTATGGTTTGATGTATGTATGTATGCATGCATGCATGCATGCAGGTAGGCATGTGTGTAGGTATGTGTGTGTAGGTGTGTGTATGCATGTATGTATGTATACATGCATGCATGCATGCATGTATGTATGTATGTATGTATGGTTGTGTGGATGTACGTATGAATGTATGTATGTATGCATTTATGTAGGTAGGTAGGTAGGTAGGTAGGTAGGTATCTATGTATGTGTGTATGTATGAATGCAGGCAGGTATACAAATACGTATGTATGCATGCATGCATGCATGTCTATATACACCTATATATATATATATATACCAGCACAGGCCACACAGGAGGCGCTTCCAGTCATCCGCCAACGTGCCCTCTGGCACGTTGAGGCGTGCTAGAATGCCAACCAGGTGCTGCCTGGTAGGGGCCCTAAAATCTTCCAAGGGGACCCGTCCCCTGACTTAGGATCCGCCGTGCTTCGGCTGATTCCCCGGCTAAAAAACATCTCGGATATGCACCCGAAATGGTCCGCCTCGAGAAGTAGGGCGGATACGTCCCCAAAAATATGGCGGAAACAGCGACGGCCAACAGGGCGGCAATCGGCATTAAAGGAGCTTGAAAAGCAGGGCGGGCTCCTCCTCCCCCTCCTCCTCCTCCTCCTACTCCTCCTCCTCCTCCCCCTCCCCCTCCTCCTCCTCCTCCTCCTCCTCCTCCTCCTCCTCCTCCTCCTTTACCTTTACCTTTACGCAGCTTGCGGCCGCGCGGTCTCCCCCGCCCCTCCTCCTTCCTCCCTCTCCTTCCTCCTTCTCCCTCTCCTCCTCCCCCTCCTTCCCCTCCCCTCTCCTCCTCCCCTTCCTCCTCCTTTTCCTCCTTTTCCTCCTCCTCCTCCTCCTCCTCCTCCTCCGCCTCCTCCGTACGGCGGATCCAAAGTCGCGGCCCCCTCTCCCAGCAGAGGCCCGCGTACACCACCCTCTCCCCCCTCCCCTCCCCAGGAATCCTGGGCGCCCTGGTGGGCTCTTCCCAGACGGCCCAGGCAGGCCACCATCGCCGCCGAGATGGCCCAAGAGGACTCCCACACACGAAACGGAACACCGTGTTGCGTGTTACGTCTCTCTCTCCCTCTCTTTCTCTCAAGGTTCGCCTCCTCTTCCTCCTCCTCCTCCTCCTCCTCCTCCTCCTCCTCCTCCCACTCCTCCTGGGGGGCACAACGAGTCACATGAAACTGCCTCCTTCCTCAGCCTTTTCCTCTTCCTCCACGTCCTCTTCCTTCTCGATCCTCCTCATGTTCCTGCTCGTCAGTCGCTGCCGCACGATCTGATTAACTATCTCCATCCCCATCCTTCTCCTAGGATTCGTCCTTCTGGGAACGACAAGTGTCGCATGTGACTGCCGCCCTCGTCCTCATCCTAATCTTCCCCTCCTCGTCTCCTTGTCCCTTCTCTTACTACCTCTCCTCCTCCCCTCCTCCTCCTCCTCCTTCTCCGCCGCCCTCCTCCTCCTCCTCCTCCTCCTTCCTCCCTCTCCTTCCTCCTTCTCCTCTCCCTCTCCCCTTCCTCCTCCTCCTCCCCCTCCTCCTCCTCCTCCTCCCCTCCCCCTCCTGCTCCTCCTGCTCCTCCTCCTCCTCCTCCTCCTCCTCCTCCTCCTCGGACCGGCACTCTCGGCGGCACTCTCGGCGGCAGTCGAGCGGTCGCCACGCGGAGCCGCGCGCCGGCACCGGCGGCGGGACCTGCCGCGGGCAGCCGGATCGCTCCAGTGAAACGGCGCGGCTGCTCCACCGAGCGAGGCAGCGCGGCGAAGCTAAGGGTTGGGTCGGGCATGTCCTCTTACAGGCGGATGTTGGCAAACCAAATGGAAAAATAGCCAAAAGACATTCAAAATAATAAGGTCAATAAGAATGAAAAAAGATCGTCCCCAGACTATTTGTTTAAACTAGTTTGGGATATTCCTCCTGTGGAGGGACAGGCCCGACTTAAAGCTAGGGGAACGACGAGTGACAAAGAAATGAAAACTCGGAGGTCCGCGCGGATTTCTCGGATCGGCGTTGGACCCCCCTCCCTGGCGCGCGGAGCGCGCCAGGGGCGGCGCCAGAAGCGCCGCCAGGGGGCCCCAGTGCGGATCCAGAAATCCGCGCGAACCTCAGAGTTTTTATGTTAATGCCATTATTCGTTCCCTTATATGTAAGTGGGCTTGACGGCTGCTCACGTGCACCCCACGCGCCCGATATCCTACTTCCCGCCTGGCGCGCCCTTGATAGTCTCCGACGACTCTATGTACTCCTTCAGGCCCTTGGACGCAGCGGCACGCTCTGCCACTTTCTTGAGCTTCGGGTACTTGTCGCTGTCGAAGTCGCAAAGCGGGCCGAACTTCGAAAACGGGAACGCAGTAGCACTGTATAGCAGTACGGCCACACAATCTGCAGGAGACGGATTCTTCCCGCCGGTCACGAAGCCCTCCTCGGGGGACAACTTTTCGAAGACACCGAACCACTTCTCCATTGCCGCCTTCAACTCATCCTTCTTTAAAGCCGACGCGTCGCCGCCGAACAGTACCCCAAAGACGCCAGACTTGCTAATGTCCAAAAGAAGGTCCTCCATACTTGCGCACCACATCATGTCGATACCGCGGGCCTTCGACGGAATGCTGCGGAACTTTGGCGCAATCGACGCGACGTAGTTCTGAATCGCCTGGGGCTTGTACCACTATCAACACCAAAGCTAAGGCCGCCCTGGACCTGCCCAGTTTGGGGCTCAAGGTCGGCACGGATCCCATTCCATAGAGCTCTCGCAAAGCATCCCGGGGCGTCCCACCAACGTGACAGAAACATCGCTGGGGATTCTCAGCGCCAGTACAGCCCTCGGCGAGACGGACTTCTGACATGATCCAGCGCCCCATGCCCCCACGTGCCACTGGTCCAGCGTTAGGTCGGGCGTGTCCCCGTACAGGGCGATTTTGTGCGAATTGAAAATAGGCCCAACAAATATTCACAAATGATCCAAAATAGTAGAAAGATAGTCCCCACACTATTTTTGGACTATTTTGGAATATTCCTCCTGTGGAGGGACAGGCCCGACTTCAGTCCAGCGTCCCGCTTTCCATTGGGGGGTCCAGCGCCCCATCCCCAGCACGCTCCTGGATCCCAAGAGAGCTCTTGCCGATGACGCCGCTGGCTCGTGTTTTGTCTGCTTCTGGGCCCTGGCGACCGCTGACCTGCGAGCGTAAAAAATGGCACCGGACAGAGGCCCGCGGAGTAGCCTGCTGTCAACGCTCTGTGCCATCATTGCGGCACGTGACTTTCCCTCTCGATTGCTCTGCAGCCTCCCACCTTGCTGTCTTTGCATGTTGCCCTTCGGAACGCGGCTCGAATTTCCGATCTCGCCATGTGCGGTGATGCGCACGGCGGCGACAGCAAGATGCTGCCGTCCGCACGCCGTTGTCATGTGTCCTATCCCTTAACTTTCTGTTGCTCCCATCGCACTTAAGCCAGAAATAATTTCGAGCACCTGGAAAAGTATCGAAAGAGTGTCGAAACAGTGTCGGACGAGGGTCTCCCAGGGCCTGACACGCGAAGGCCCTCGAGTTTCGGTACGTTTTTTGGTGCTCGAGATTCTTCCTAGTGATCAAGGCTAAAGCAGGTTGGAACATCATAACCTTAATTACACTAGAGAAAAGCCCCAATATGTGGATGGTTTTCGCCGAGGTTTCCCGGGAGCCCGGGAACCCAGGACCCATCGAAATCGGCCCGGAACCAATAACCGGGAACCCGGGAACCCGGGAGCCGGGAACCCGGGAACCCAACCTGCTACCAAAAAATCGACGGGGAACCTTCGCCAAATCTTCCAGCTTCCGCTCGGACCCCCTCAGCGCAAGCGCTGATTGGGGAACGAACGACGATGTCCAAGTCGCTTTCTTCATGAATTGCCCCTGGCTGCGCAATTCGCCGAACGTGTATACGTCGCCCCCGCGCCCCGCGGTGCGCGACGCGCGGTGATCGCCGCGCCCTCGCGGCTTCGCGCCTGCCCCCGGCGGCAGACGGGCGGCCCTCCTGCCCAGAGCACGACGCGCGGCGCCTTGGTTGTCTCGGCGCCCCCAGAGGGCGATCGAGGGCCTCCGGAGCTTGGCGGCGCGAGGAGGGGGGTACACGTCGTTCATGTCTAATCGCGTTCATTTCTAATTGCGTTCGTTCCTGATTGTTCCTGGCCCCCCAGTGGCAAGGAAGAGGCCCAGGATAGAACAATTAGAAATGAAAGGATCTTGGCCCCCAAAGAAATCAAAGAACTTTCGAACAATTTGAAACAGCAATGTGTAAGCTTAACTCGGGCGCGTCCTTCTACAGGAGGAATATTCAGAAATAGTCAAGAAATAGGATGGGGAAGATTTTCCTATTATGTCTAATCGTTTTGGAATATGTTTTTGACTGATCATTTTTCGTCCGAAATCGGCCTGTAGGGGACATTCCCGACCTAATGCTTTTCAGAGGGCGCTGGCATTCTTTATGCATGTCGGGCCGCCTTCTTCTGAAAAGCAGACTCCTTCTAAGAAGCCTTCACCCCTCACCCTTTATCCCCGTGTGCGAGCCGCCAAGGTCCCCAGAAGTGGAGGTATCCAAAAGTACCCGTGGGTCCAGACCCCGATGCCTTGATTTGTTTCAACAACCCATTGCCCCCGATAGTAAATCGTACCCCCCCTTGGCCCCTCTATTTCCCAACCATGCTGTGGTGTTGGGTCCTAGTTTTGAAAAGACGTCGCCCCGCGTTCCTCCTCCTCCTCCTCCTTCTTCCTCCTCCTCCACCTCCTCCTCCTCCTCCTCTCCTCTCCTCCTCCCCCTCCTCCCCCCTCCTCCCTGCGTTTCACCTACCCAATACAGCGTTTCGTGGCCCCATAGGGAGCTCCACCGAAGGCCCCAGTGGCAGCGTTCGCATGGCGGTCTCGGGCCATTTCGGCACACCCTTCAGGAGGATCGTGGCCCCATAGGGAGCTCCACCGAAGGCCCCAGTGGCAGCGTTCGCATGGCGGCCTCGGGCGATTTCGGCACACCCCTCACGAGGATCGTTGCCCCATAAGGAGCTCCACCGAAGGCCCCAGTGGCAGCGTTCGCACGGCGGCCTCGGGCCATTTCGGCACACCCCTCACGAGGATCGTGGCCCCATAGGGAGCTCCACCGAAGGCCCCAGTGGCAGCGTTCGCATGGCGGCCTCGGGCGATTTCGGCACACCCCTCACGAGGATCGTGGCCCCATGAGGAGCTCCACCGAAGGCCCCACTGGCAGGGTTTGCACGGCGGCCCCGGGCCATGTCGGCACACCCCTCACGAGCCGAAGGCCCCAGTGGCAGCGTTCGCATGGCGGCCTCGGGCCATTTCGGCACACCCCTCACGAGGATCGTGGCCCCATTTGGACCTCCACCGAAGGCCCCAGTGGCAGCGTTCGCATGGCGGCCTCGGGCCATTTCGGCACACCCCTCACGAGGATCGTGGCCCCATTTGGAGCTCCACCGAATGCCCCAGTGGCAGGGATCGCATGGCGGCCTCGGGCCATGTCGGCACACCCCTCACGAGGATCGTGGCCCCATAGGGAGCTCCACCGAAGGCCCCAGTGGCAGCGTTCGCATGGCGGCCTCGGGCCATTTCGGCACACCTCGCACGAGGATCGTGGCCCCATAGGGATCTCCACCGAAGGCCCCACTGGCAGCGTTCGCATGGCGGCCTCGGGCCATGTCGGAACACCCCTCACGAGGATCGTGGCCCCATAAGGAGCTCCACCGAAGGCCCCAGTGGCAGCGTTCGCATGGCGGCCTCGGGCGATTTCGGCACACCCCTCACGAGGATCGTGGCCCCATAGGGAGCTCCACCGAAGGCCCCAGCGGCAGCATTCGCACGGCGGCCTCTGGCCATTTCGGCACACCCCTCACGAGGATCGTGGCCCCATAGGGAGCTCCGCCGAAGGCCCCAGTGGCATCGTTCGCATGGCGGCCTCGGGCTATTTCGGCACACCCCATCACGAGGATCGTGGCCCAAAAGGGAGCTCCACCGAAGGCGCCAGTGGCAGCGTTCGCATGGCGGCCTCGGGCCATGTCGGCACACCCCTCACTAGGATCGGAGCGGAAGCGTTCGCATGGCGGCCTCGGGCCATTTCGGCACACCCCTCACGAGGATCGTGGCCCCATAGGGAGCTTCACCGAAGGCGCCAGTGGCAGGGATCGCATGGCGGCCTCGGGCCATTTCGGCACACCCCTCACGAGGATCGTGGCCCCATAGGGAGCTCCACCGAAGGCCCCCAGTGACAAGGTTCGCATGGCGGCCTCGGGCCATTTCGGCACACCTCGCACGAGGATCGTGGCCCTATGAGGAGCTCCACCGAATACCCCCAGTGGCAGCGTTCGCACGGCGGCCTCGGGGCATTTCCCCTCACGAGGATCGTGGCCCCATAGGAGCTCCGCCGAAAGCGCCGGTGGCAGGGTTTGCACGGCGGCCTCGGGCAATTTCGGCTCACGAGGATCGTGGGAGCTTCACCGTCGGCGCCAGTGGCAGGGTTCGCACGGCGGCCTCTGGCCATTTCGGCACACCCCTCACGAGGATCGTGGCCCCATAGGGAGCTCCACCGAAGGCCCCAGTAGCAGCGTTCGCATGGCGGCACCGGGCGATTTCGGCACACCCCTCACGAGGATCGTGGCCCCATATAAGAGCTCCAGCGAAGGCGCCAGCGGCAAGGTTCGCACGGCGGCCTCGGGGCATTTCGGCGCACCCCTCACGAGGATCGTGGCCCCATAGGAGCTCCAGCGAAGGCGCCAGTGGCAAGGTTCGCGTGGCGGCCCCTGGCCATTGCGGCACACCCCTCACGAGGATCGTGGCCCCATGGACGCGTTGCTTCAACAATCGCGCTTGGGCGTCGTATTCCGCCGTGTCGACGTGCAACGCCACCTCCTCCCTCATGGCTCTCAAAACCCTCGTCTGCTTTTGCTCCTCGGTCAGAGGGGCGCCGTCCGTGTCGTCGTCGGCGCTCGCGAAGACGCCCGCGAACATGTTCCTGAGCATGTCGGGTTCCGGCGGGAAGCTGTGGCCACATAGGGAGCGCGGGCAAAGATGGTATTCACAATTGCGGTATTCACAACTAACTGCACATGGTTGGGTCCTTCGCCAGTCATATTCAATTGTGGAGAAGGCTCGGAAACCGAACTTGCTAATCCCCGGGGGGAGTTGCGAATCGAAGTTGCTATCATATCACGCTGACTAGCAACAGCCGCAAAAACGCTGAGCATGGCAATGGTGGTCCCACCGTTACAGCTTCCGCAATCACGAGCGCGTGGCAGAGCTATGGGATTCTCACCGTTTCAGTTTTCCCAAATCACGAACATGCGGCAGGGCCATGGGATTTTCACTTTCTCAGCCGTTCCCGAGCCAGGAACGTGTGGCAGGGCCATGGGGACCGATTGGATTTTGAACTTACATGCGTTTTTCGAGCAGGCAGAGCATTGGAGTTACTTTTTCAGCGCATCCCTCACCCGGTACGTGGCCCCTCCTCCTCCTCCTCCTGCTCCTCCTCCTGCTCCTCCTCCTCCTCCTCCTCCTCCTCCTCCTCCCCCGCAACTACCCCGGCCCGAGCTTGCCCGAGTCTCCGAGACTCCGAGCCTTCGAGTTTCTTCGAGGCACCGAGCCACTCTGGACGCCCAGAGGTCTTGGTCCCTTCCCGGAGACCGTCTTCACATCCCGAGTCGTTTCTTGACGGCCTCGGACCCGGCAAAGACCCCCGTGAGGCCGAGAATTGGCGTAGCACAAAAAACAACAGCATCCAGTCGTGTTTTTTTTTGCGGCGCCGCGGGGTCTGACTCCGATCGCCTGGCTCTGACATATCTTCATCGTGCCTGAGGGAGGGCGCAAAGGGGGGACTGGCTCAGGGGGGGAGCACTGACCCGGCATCCGCAATGTATCGCCGATGAGTCGGCGATGGGTCCTCGATAGCGAAGCCTCAGAAGCTCCTGTGCGGGGGGGGGGCACCTGTGCTCCGACCTGCGATGGACAGGCAATTGCTGCAATTGCCCGTCATCGCAAATCGGGGCAATTGCTGCAATTGTTGATGGTTCTCCCCCTACAACTGAATTGCAGAGGGAGAAGAAGCAGCAGCATGTGCTCTCGGAGGAGGAGATCATTGCTCTCGGGGTGATCTTCACGGCCTCTCGGGCCGTCTAGGACGTTGTGAACGCCCAAGAGGTGAATGTGCAAAAAATGCGCGTTTTCCCGAAGGGATGGGACGATTTCTGCTTCTGGAGGCCCTCTTGGGGCGCCTTCTGGGGGGCTTCTTGGGGCGTCTTGAGGGCCTCGTGGGCTTTCGGGAGGCCAGTTGGAACATTGATGCCACGGCTCGGGGCCTTCTTGGACCGTCTTGGAGATGTCTTGGGGTCCTCCTGGCCCGTTTTCAGGCCTCGATGACAGCAGCAGCATGTGTCATTGCACCAGCCTTGCAGACGTGCTGCAGCGGATTTCTGCCTGGAGTTCTGCGTGGATTTTTGCTCGAAGCGGCGTGCGAAACACGAAGTTGATTTCGCGTGGATTATTCTTGGTCTTCGTTCCTGGCCAAAAAAATACCCACACGAAATCCGCCTCGAAATCCGGAACGAGATTCTCCAGGACACCCCGGGCCCACCCTACCCCAAATCCCGTATTAATCGACCCCCACCTAAAAAACCAGACCCCCCACCAAACGCGACCTAATGTTGTGGACCCCCCTCTTCGAGGGGGCGCCACAATAAACCGGACCCCCTAAGCTCCGATCCAAAGCAAGCGCCCCAATAAACCGGACCCCCCCAGTTACAAACAAGGCGTCTCAAACAACGGGAAACGGGGGACGATAAATAAGGGATTTGGAGCATCACTTTCCGAACGAAATCCGCTCTGCGATGTTGGCGCCATGACATGTGCTCTCGGAGGTCCGCGCGGATTTCTCGGATCGGCGCGGGACCGCGCCAGGGAGCGCGCCAGAGGGGCCTGCGCCGGCCTGAGAAACCAGCGCGGACCTCCCACTGGCAGCGTCTGCGCTTATATGCTTCCCCTCTGGCACTGAAGGCTCGAGGCTTCAGCCCTGCCCTCGATCGTCACCGTCCGCGCCTTCCGCGCGGCAGGTGCGGAAGGTGGAGACCCTGGATTGGCGATGAAGCCAGAGCTCGGGTGCGTCGATTTCTATCATATGCGTGGTCCCTGGAGCTCTGGACCGTTTCCTGGGGAGCAGTGCTTAGTCGCTTAGTCCCCGACCGTTGCTTGACAGCCCCAGGGCCATGCGACTACTGCCCCCAGAGGTCGAAGATCATCAAAACCTCCGTCATATTCAATACAGTGGGAATGGGTCCGGGGATGGGCTCGACTGGGCGTCGGTGCTCCCCCCCTGGGCGAAGTCCCTTCCCTCGACCTGCACCTCCCACACCTTCTGCGCGACAGGTGCCGCACCGTGGCGGCCGCCGCCGAGGCCGCAGCAGCGGCCTCAGTGGCCACCGCGGCCACGCCGTGGCGGCACCTGTCAAGCAGAAGGTGTGGAAGGTGCAAGTCGGAAGCTGTTGGCGCCCCCGGAGTGCCGTGCTTGAGCAGGGGGAGGCCGGTGCCCGGCGCCCCGTGCTCCGAGCACAGCTCCTTGCGGTCCTCGGGCAGTTCGCCCACCTCAAGCTGGAGGCCTCCGGCCGCAGCGATGAGCCTGCTGGAGGGGAGGAGGGGGGAGGAAGGATGAGGAGAAGGAGGAGGAGGAGGAGGAGGAGGGGGAGGAGGAGGGGGAGGAGGAGGGGGAGGAGGAGGGGGAGGAGGAGGAGGAGGAGGAGGAGGAGGAGGAGGAGGAGGAGGAGGAGGAGGAGGAGGAGGAGAGGAGGAGGAGGAGGAGGAGGAGGAGGAGGAGGAGGAGGAGGAGGAAGGAGGAGGAGGAGGAGGGAGGAGGGGGGAGGAGGAGGAGGAGGAGAGGAGGAGGAGGAGGAGGAGGAGGAGGAGGAGGAGGAGGAGGAGGAGGAGGAGGAGGAGGAGGGGGAGGAGGAGGGGGAGGAGGAGGGGGAGGAGCTCCCCCCTCACTCGCCCTTCCCAGTTTTCCGCGCGTCTTGCTCCCCACTCCCTTCCACTGCGAGCTTCGGTGCTTTGGCCGCCACCGCCAGCAGGGCGTCGGCCCACTGTGCCTGCCCAAACGCACTCGCGATGTCCAGGCCGATCAGCGCTCGGTCAGGATGCATCCCGGCAGCGGCCCGTACCTCTGCGATCTCAGCAGCCGCGCCCGCCGACCTGCCAGCGCCAAACTGCCGCTCGCCCGCGGCGTCGGCGACCTGAGCACCAGCGCCCAGCACTGACGCCCCGACAGCGAACTTCAGGAGCGCCTCGCCCCCTGCAGCACTGGCCGCGCTTTCTGACACAGGCCGTCCTTGAAAAACGGCCACGCCAAAGCATCCGACCACAGGGAAGCAACCCAAGGTCGCATCACGCCCTGGGACCAGACGGAGCACCACGCCGCAAGCGTGCGCGGCCCACCGCACCTGGCCGCGGGCTTGATGGCGGCAGCCTGCCGCCCCGCAAGGCGCGGCGTGACGACGAGCCTGCGCTTCATCGGAATGGCCGCGACCGCCGAGAGCGCCTCCTGCAGCTTCGCCTCCTCCGCGGGGCTGCGCGGCTCGCAGCGGAAGAGCGTTTGGATCGCCTCGTCTGCTTCGGCGCCAGGCGGGACCCTGGGGCCCCCAACGAGGATGTCCGCCCCGCCGCGCTTGCTGCCGTCCCTGACCTTCAGGATGGCTGCCCGCGCCGCCGCTGCCGTGAGACGGCCGTCAGCGCCACGAGAAGCCGCGCAGGCGGGCCCTGCGATGCCCGCGCGCGATCAGCCTCGAGCTCTCCCAGCAGGTCGCGCACGAGCCCAGCCCACTCCCCGCGGAAAGCCGCGCGGATGCGGCCGCGCAAAACTGCAAGAGAGCTGGCCGTGCCGTGGGCCTGTTCGTCGGGGTGCTCCTGCGCGGCATCCTCTGGAGCTGCCCAGAGTAGCAACTGCGGGGCGGCACGGTGTAAACGATGCTGCAGCTCAGCCGCGCTGTCTCCAGTCTCCGCTCCCGCGCGCTCCGCAGCCTGGCGGATCAGCGTGGCAAGAACACTGCCCACCTGCTGCTCGAGCGCCCTCGGCACCCAGATGCGTGGGGCGCGGGGGCACGCGTCTGGCAGACGCTGGAGGAGCAGCAAGAGGTCGGGCGGCGCGACGGGTCGAGTCGGCTCCGCAGCAGCAGGATCGGCCGCGGCGTCGAGCACCGCTGCCGGTGGCGCCGGCGCCGCGGCCCCTGCAGCGTCCTGCGCCTCCGCGTCGCGCAGCTGGCGCTGGTGGGGACTGAGGCGCAGTGCTTGCGCGCGGCCGTGGTGCAGTGCGGTGCCACGGTGCACCCACTGCCGGTGGTGCACGCTGTGCCCGCACGAGGCGCAGGCCCTGCCTGCCTGCTTTGCCTGGGAGCCAGCCCGCAGGCCCCCGCGCGTGGCGCAGGGGACGCGCCACTGGCGAGGGCGGCCTGCCTGCCTCCGGAGGCGGACTCCCAATGGCGCCCGGAGCACCTCCGGCCCCGTCCGCCGCGGCAGCTGCGGCATCCTGGACGGTGTTCAGCGCAGACTGCACCGCGGCATCGACGGACGCCTGCTGCACGAGCCCTGCGGCGGCACCTCCTCCAGATGCTCCTCCAGGGACGTCCTCCACTCCTGCGACCACCGCGCGCGGCGGCGAAACTTGGCCACCGCCCTCGACACAACGACAAAATGGCCAATGCGACGGTACTCCTCAGACGCGTCTGGGTGCAGGGGGGGGCTCCAAGTTTGGCCGCCCTGTCCGCCCAGTCGCTCCCTGCGCGACTGTGGGATTCCTCGGCGCCCAGGGAAACATCCGAATCTTGGCGGGCAACGGCAACAACTTTACCTACCCCTGAAGCGACACCGTCGGATAAGGCGTCAACCTGAAGGAGTACACCTGAATAAATTCTTCCCTCTCTCCTGAGAATGGCGTTCAGATCTGGCCAGCTTCCACAGCTCCAACGGACCGAATTCGCCGTCAAATAGGCAGCGGTAAAAGCTGGAGCCCCGAACTCTGCCCCCTGGCTCGTCTGAGGATAGCTGGTGGAAAGGGAGCCACACAGCAGCGCGGGCAACTGGCCATCGGCGGTCAAATTGGCCGTGCCCCACCCGTCCTCCAGAGCTCCTTAGTGGGCGACTTTTGTACAGAAAATGCCCCCCACCAGCACGCGCTCCGAGTCCGAGTGCACGGCAGAGCCATCAGATAACCCCCGGTGCTGTGAGGCTTCACCCCCCACACATGAAACACCTCAACAAGTTGAGCCGACAGAACTTCGTCCTGTCCGAGGGGTCCGGGCCACCAGTCGCTGGGATGAGGGAACAAGCCAGTCTCGAGCAGCAGCATCTCAACTTCCGAGAGGTCGTCTATTCTGGTGTACTACAAGACATTTGGGGGGATCGATTCTTCCCCCTCCTCCTCGCAAGCTCTGCATTTCCACAAACGATGATGCATGGCGTCGCCCGGTCGCCCGCGCAGTGGGCGCAAATCCTCGACAAGGCAGCGGGCCGCCACGGCGCGAAACAGAGGCCAGGTCAGGCCCCCCATCCAGCCCTGGCAGAAGGCGAAGCGAGCGCTCGCCGGCCGGCGGCCTCAACGTCGAGCCTGCCAGGCGCTTGACCTTCGGCAGCTCTCCCTCGGACAAGCCGCTGAATGACGCAAGCAACGCGCCACGTTAGGAATCCAAAGGAGGGAGGTTGTTGTTTAACGTGGAGTTTGGGGTTCATCGTGCTCCGATAAAGAGGGACTCGTCACGGCGATCGGGGAACATCGCAGCCGCTTTGCAAGGCGGGAAGGGCTCCGCCCGCGACAATAACTATCTTAGTCCTGCAGCCTCAGATAGCTCTGTGCCTCTTGAGGCGAGCAGCGCGACGGAGGGCATTGGCCGCCCTGGACTTGGCCTTCTAGGTCCTACCTCGCCCCCTCCTAGCTTTCCCCCCAGTGTCGTCGACCCCCAGATTAACCACTGCCTCCTTGTGAGGCCCCGCTGGGGCACAAAGTGGTCTTGCAACCTCGAGGGCACCACCTTAGAAGAAGACGAGACCATGCCAATTTTGTCCATCGGCATCTCCGCAACCATCGTCTTAGTTATATCATGATGCAAGTACCAACCAACTTCGATCAATCTTTTCATGAACGGATTGATCGGGGGGTCCAACAGCCCCCCCAACAGTGTCGCTAATGTCAACATCCAGGGAGACTCCGGAAGAGATCCCAGCAACATCTGGAGCGTCTAAACCGAACACCCTGATCATGGTCGTGGCGAAGCTACACCCCGCCACGACCCCAGTAACAGCAGAAGGCGGAGGGCGACCGCGCTGGCCAGCATCACGCATCGCGCCGAGCGACAAGCCGCTAAGCAAACCGCACTGATGGCATGATTGAAAGAGTGCTGCCAGCACCGGCAGAAAACAGGGCGAGCAGAATCTGCTCATACTCCATTTTTAGCATGTCCCACATCCTTTTTATTCAGCACGCACAATTTGTGAACGCCCTCCGTCCGACCTAGGGAGCCCGTGACACAGAGGGGGGGGGCACGCAGCGAACATGTTCTGTGGGACATGGGCAGGGAGAGAGCATGTCCCACAGAATACCGACCACAGCTTCCCCGCTGATGAACCCCCGCCCCCGCGCGGGCACTCTGCCTTCACTGCGAGGCGGGGATTTATCCATATCCACCGCGAGAACCCACGTCCTGGTGCCCCAGCGGGCGGTGGATATGGATATATTTCGGCCCCCGAGGGGCCCGAATATGTCCATATCCACTGCCTGCCGAGGCTCCGAAAACTGACTCGCCAAGCAGTGGTCATTTACAAAGTCCCGCCTGGGATCCACGCCGCGTCCTGGGCCCCTCTGTGCTCTCCCGCGGCCCAGTGGGGCCCGCCGTGCAGAGCCTCCCCCTCCGAGGCCACATGCCTGCGAGCACTGACCCAGATCCGACAAAGAAGGCCAGAGAAGACCCCGTAGGGGCCGAAAGCCCGACGAAGGCTCAGCCAAGAAAGCAACCACTGGGGCCCGCAGTTGCCCGGGCAGCAGTCCCGAAACCTCGATCGATTCGACAACTCTGGCCAGAGCGGCCAACGCGCCAGCGGACACGTGGGCGTGGGGACGCACGTGTAACCCGTCAAGCCCGACGGCCGTTTTCCAGGCAAACTTACGCGACAAAGTCCTAATCTGCTCGGGCTCGAGGGTCGGGAAGGGGTCATTCAGGGCCCCTCGAACTTTCCGCGGGCTGACGGAGGTTTTCCAAAAATATCCGAAAGATGACGGTCTCCACACGAAGCAATTCCCCAAAATCAGACACCACCGCACCGAAACGAGAGAGGGTGGTGGTAGGCCGCCAGGCCGTCGGGTCAACCGTAACCTGGTGGACCCTCATCGCTCCATTGTTGACCCCCTCCAGAAGCCAAGAGCTCCAGTCCTGTCTGGACTTGGCCTGAACAAAAAGAGTTGGCCGCGTCAAAAACCGAGGGGTGTATCCCCAACTGGAGTGCTGAGATGGCGGGGTCTGGATGGGAATGGGAATGGGGATGGGGATAGGGGTCGGTTAAACGATACTGACACAAGTGGGCCGTCGAGCGCGTCCCAGACACCTGTGCTGAGCCGAGCCTCGCATGGCAGCGGGCAAGCGCTCCGTGTGTGTGACCCGTGGGCGCAGGTGAGCGCCACCATCGAGGTCTGCTGCCAAGCTGCACAGTTTTTCCCTCGCGAACATCCACAAATTCTTCGGTGTTGGCCCTGTAACTCGTGCGCGTGCTGCTCGCATCACGAACCACATGCAAGCATAGCGCGAAATAAAGACATGGCCTCGCCTCCCTCGCCCTCCCCGGTTGCACAATAGCGCCCGTACCACTTGAGCCAAGGGGCAGCCTTCTAAGGCAGGGGGGCCCTTAGAGCACAGGGCCGCTTCCAACAGACCCCCTGCCTTCCCGCCAGAAGGTGCAAACACACACACACAGACGCACAGACACACAGACACACAGACACACAGACACACACACACACACAGACACACACTGCTGCACGCACGCGGTGAACACCTGGAGACCACGCGCTGCATGCACGAGCCGAAGTCCGGCGTGCCTGGCCATGGAAGGACCTAGCGCTGGAGCGCCCTCTGGCCAAATGTGCGTCCAGCCCTTGCCCAGCTCGGCCGCGTTGTGTGTATGCACCATCTGGAGGCGGCCAGGGGGTCTGAACTGGGTGGGCCCAGAGGCACTCGGTCAAGGACGGGCGGAGGATATACTGGCGAATCCGCTCAAAAACGGCCCCCGAACCCCTCCTGGGATCCATCTTGCCCACTTCTCACTCCGGATATGTGTGTTGACGGTTCTGGGGCCGAAAAGGGCCCCAGAGACGGAGAATGGCAAAAACCTTCCCGAACCCAGAACCTCGAACCTCCCCCCTTCCTGCTTGCCAAGTTGCCAAATACAGCGATGGGCCACATCAGACCCTCAGCCAGCTCCAAAGCAGTTTCTTATCCTGAGTCGCTTCTTGACGGTCCCGGCGGGGCACGGCGAGGGTCTCCAGGGGCCTACAAGGCGAATCCACACCGTTTACGTGTATATGCATGCAGAGATGTGTGTGTGTGTGTACATATGTGTATTGGAGCATGGGTTGTACATCTGGGTGCGCATCACCCTGGCAGAAGCTGGGGCCCCCAGAATCGTGTGGTGACGGACCGCGTGGTGACCTCGGGATCCCCCACGGCCTCACCGCGCGGTCCGTCACCGAGCGGCCCTGCGGCCTCGGATGCCACCGCCGCTCGAGACGCTCTCGGAGAGAACGGCTCCGGTCCCCCAAAGCCGCACGGCGGCGCCGAACCCCGGCCCTCGATCGGCCACACGCAGGAGTGACCCCAAGCAGGAGTGACCGCCAGGGACCAGACCTGGCCAGGCTTAGGTCGGGCGTGTCCCCCTGCAGGCGGATTTCGGACGACAAATACAAAATGGTCCAGAAATGCTCGAAAATAGCTGAACATAATGGGAAAATCGTCCCCAGACTAAGTTTTGGATATTCCTCCTGTACCAGACCACCCCAACCCAGCCCGAAGACCCGAATCTGGCCCGAATTTCGGATAGGGGGGGTACGGGCTTCACATGTGTTTTTCATTGCTCCCCGACCCCCCCCCCCCCACCACTGGAAAATGGAGGGCAAATCGGGGCCTCCCGATTGGGTTGGGGTGGTTTGGTGGGCGGTGAAACCGTGGGGGGGCGATACAGGGGGGAGGGGGGGGGAGAGGTGCCCTTCCGGGCCCTGAAAGCCCCTTTCTGGGCCCGAAAGGGCCCCTTCATGGGGCCCCCAAGGGCCCGTTTCTAGCAGAAGAAGAAGAAGAGGAAGAAGAGGAAGAATAAGAAAAAGAAACCATATAAACATAAACTTTTGGCGCTCCGCGCGGATTTCTTGGATCCGCGCCGGGCCCCCTCCCTGGCGCGCGGAGCGCGCCAGAGGCGGCGCCGGAGGCGCCGCCGAGGGGCCCAGGCGCGGATCCAAGAAATCCGCGAGGAGCGCCAAAAGTTTATGTGTGCGCTTTTGTTATTCTTTCAATCATGGGGCCCCGAAGGGCTCCTTTTCGGCAGCCCTCGCTGCCCCCCCCATTGGATCGCCCCCCTTTACGCTCGCCGCCGCAACCGCCGCCCTCCGTCCGTCGTCTGGCGCCGCTCCTCGTCGGTCTCGTCGTCGTCGTCGTCGTCGCTTCCGTCGTCGACCCGACCCGACCAAGGCCGCCCCTCTCGCGCCGGCCCCGGGCCACCCCCGCGCCTCGTCAGCTCGCCGCGGCCCGCGAAGGGGAAGTAGTAGAAGACGGGCTTCTCGCGCGGCTTCTTCTCCTCTTCAGGGCGGGCGGCAACACAGCGCACCCCCGCCGGCCCTGGCCAGGGCCCGCCCGCAGACCCAGGAGCGGCGTGCGCGCACGAGGGCTCCGAGCTCCAACGCCCCGAAGCAGGCGAGGGCGCAGGTCTTGCACAGCTCTGGGCCTCCGGAGGCCCTCGCCGGGCCCCACAGGGGGCCACCAGCAGCACTACTCGCGCCTCGCGGTGGAAAACTGGTCCCAGGGAGGATGCCGAGACTTCCAGGGACCCCGCGCGGAAAAAAGTACATCAGAGAAAAGACCCAATCAGTGAACCCAGGAGCCCGGGAACCCAGAACCCACCGAAATCGGCCCAGAACCAATAACCGGGAACCCAGGACCCCGGAACCGGGAATACCCGGGAACCCAGCCTGCTACCAAAATCGGCGGGAAACCTGCGCCGAATCGTTCCACTTCCGCTAGGACCCCTTCAGTGCAAGCACTGATTGGGAAATGTCGAGACGTCGGACCTCCGGGGAGGCCGGAAGTGCGCACGCACTGCTCGACTCACACGTGCGGAACAACTGGAGGCCCCGCGCCAGATGCACGCGCGGAGGGCTGGCGTGCCCAGCCGTGAGAGGGCAGAGCGCTGGGGAAAAAGCCGTGCGGGCCACGTGTGCCTCCGGTGATGGGCCTGTTGTCCACCACCGCCACCATACGTTGGAGGAGGAGGAGGAGGAGGAGCAGGAGGAGGAGGAGGAGGAGGAGGAGGAGCAGGAGGAGCAGGAGGTGGAGGAGGAGGATGAGGGCCCCCTCCCCCTCCAACTTATGGTGGTGGTGGTGGTGGAAAACAAGCCCATCCTCCGGCTCTCGCCCAGGCCGGCCGCGCCGCGCGCAGGCGGCCATCGCTGCAGTTGGCGACCTCTGGCTCCTTCGGCTCCGGCTTCTCAACGGTGACCTTCAGGGCCTTCGACTTGAGGCGGTCTCCGCCCACCCACTCGTCGTAGCCCTCGTAGCCCGTGTAGGTGACCTTCACGGGGGCCTTGGCGCGGTTCTTGGACGTGGAGACGTCCACGACCTCGGCGGCAAAGAACTTCCCATCGGACTCGGCCTGGCACTTCATGCCCTTCTCAAGACCAGAGTAGTCGTAGGTCTTCTTCGGGTCCGGCTTCTTCGCGGTGGCCTTCTTTGGCGCCATTCCTCGCAAGTTGGCAGCGGACTCGCAGATTGGAGTCGGGTAGGGCCTTGGTATTAAACTGAACGGGCTATGGAACAAAGCGATGCTGACGACTACGACGACGCAGATCTACGCGAGTGCGCCACTGAAGTGGCATGTGTCAGACAGAGCCGAGTGCGAGCATGGTCTTCGAAATTTTAGCTCTGTGCCAAGCGGCATGGGGCTGGAATTTCGAGGACCATGCTCGGGGGGCATTTTTGTGTGGACCTTCCGACTTTTTGGAGGTATCGTTGTGGTGGGGGCGCGCATTTCTCCACAGCCTGCGGAAGCCAGCTTCTTCAAACAAAAAATGCCCCCCGAGCATGGTCTTCGAAATTTCAGCCCTGTGCCAAACGGCATTGGGCTGGAATTTCGAGGACCATGCTCGGGGGGGGCATTTTTTTAGACCTTCCGACTTTCTGGAGGTATTGTTGTGGTGGGGGCGCGCATGTCTCCACAGCCTGCGGAAGCTAGCGGAAGCAGCCACAAGGAGGAGAAGAAGAAGAAGAAGAAGAGTAGGAGGAGGAAAAGGAGGAGGAGGGAGAACGTATACCTTTTCCGCACTGCTTGCAGAAGTTTGCGGAAGTTGCCGCACTGAGGAGAAGAACAGGAGGAAGAGGAAGAGCGTGTTCATTTTAGTATTGCCCATGGGAGCTGGCGGAAGCTGCCAGAGAGAAGAGGAAGAAGACGTATATTGGCCTCGTTCGGCCCACTTCTCATTGAGGGATGTTGGCGCCGCGTGGGAAGCAGTCTCAGCCTATCCAGCATTGGGAGGAGGAGGAGGACGATGAGGAGGGAAATGAAGGTGAGTTGATCTCGGTGGTTTTGCCTTGCATTCGATGGCATTGCATTGGACCGCATTGTATGCGCACTGCTTCTGCTTCTGATTATGCTTCTTGCTCCTGCTCCTGCTCCTGCTTCTGCTTCTGCGTCTGCTTCTTGCTCCTGCTCGTGCCCTTGCCTCTTCTCCTGCTCCTGCTCCTGCCCAAGCCCCTGCTCCTGCCTTTGCCTCTCCACCTGCTCCTGCTTCTGCTTCTGCTTCCTGCTCCTGCTTATCCTGCTCCTGCTCCTGCCTCTGCTCCTGCCCTTGCCTCTCTTTCTGCTTCTGCTCCTGCTCCTGCTCCTGTTCCTGCTCCCGCTTTCTCTGTCCTCCTCTTTCCTTCTTCCTCTCTCTTCCTCCCTCGCCTCTCTCCTCTCTCTCTCCTCCTCCCTCTCCGTCCACCTCGACAACCCTTGTCCTTCCTGCCCGTGTTAGCGCCCTGCCGCGCAGGCGTGTGTGGCTCAAGCGACCAACTCTACCTGAGCGTTCTCCGCTGCGCTGGGACAGCCCAACTTACGTTGACGCTACACTCGAACATGGCGACCGCCCAGCAGGCCCGTGAATCCACCAAAACACCAAATAACCATATCAACACTCAAAGCTGTTCGGGGGACCAGTTGCCCTTCTCGTGTACACCCAAAGTTTTTGTTTGGCGGCGTAGACAAGAAAGTATCGTTACCCAGGAGGCCCCCAAGATGTACGCGACCCTGGAGAAGCGCATGGCAGAGCCCATGATGAACGAGGAGCAGCCGGTCGAGCAGGGGACGAACGCCGCCCATGATCAACGTGGGCCTCGCGGCGACCCAGGTCAAGGTGGACGGCACGAGCCGTTCAACGATGAAGAAGTGCAGTGACCCGCTTGACCCGCAGGCAGAGCACTTGCAGTGGCCAGACTTCACCCTCGAAAACACGCCGACGCCCTGGAACGTATGCCGTGGTGAAGTGCGGAGGCGAGGGCTTCCTGCGCATGGTCGACGCGGAGCCCGCTGCGCTTGGGGAAGCCTGCGGGCATGCGGGGCTGGCGGCAATGATGCCCGTGATCTTCGCTGGCGAGCTGGAGGTCAACGGGGACATGCAATTGACGGCTTGGACGAACGTATCTGGCCCCTACCAGGTACCGTCAAAGCGTGCGAAGCAGTCTGGCCTTCCACAGAACTTATTCTGTCAATTCGTAGACCGCGAGAACGTGCCAGCGAACCCCACCATGGCCGCTTGAAGTTTCTGCGCGGCGGGAACGCTCTGCAACCGCCAGCAACGCCAGCCAGTGCGGATTCTGGCACAGGGGGAGCGCAAGTGGAAGCCGAGGACAGCGTGGACCGAGCACTTTCGCAGGTGATTGGCGACAGCATTCAGGGCGAGAACCGCGCCGATCCGGAGCCGCCCGAGAAGCGCCAGAAGACCAATACGGAGTTCGTCAAGAGCATGCTCTTCGCGTCGGCTGCGGGATCTTCGGGTGATGTGTCGTCCACGCTGGGAATGGCGCGGCCTGTCGATGCTCCAGGGGCCCCCGTGATGGTGGAGACCGCCACGAAGGACCCCATGGAAACCGCCAGGGAGATAATGGCCAAGACGGCGATTGACTTTGAAGACTTGGCGAAAGACTAGAGAATCCTCGTCGGGCTGGTAGGGTACCTCAGCGAGGCGCCCATATCGAACTACGCTTTGTCCAACCACCACCGCCTCACCATGCTCCTCATCATCGAGGGCGATCGGTGCCGGGCGCATTCGAAGGAGTGCTTCTTCTGCACGGGGGTGGGTGCTGGGACCAAGTGGAATCCTTCGACGTTAAGTGCTGGGACTACATCACGGCGTTAGAGGGCATGTTCACGAGGATTGGCGGAGCTGGTGTGGAAGATCACGAACGCCCCGAATGGAAATGGACCGCGCTCCAGAACATCGCCGGCCAGATACTGCAGGAGGATGCCGTGACGCTCGCCACGCTCCGCACCAGCGCGAAGGAGCACTCTGACGCTCTCAAGAAGGCTACGGAGTACAAAGGTTGTAAAGGCAACTCGGCTTTGAGCCAGCTAGAGCCATATATTTTCATGTGCAGCTTCTCTGCGATTCTCCTCAGCCTGTGCGCTGAATGTGAGTTGACCAGTGTAGTGAGGCACCGCCTGCGCAAGTGCGAAGCTGATGTGTTTTGATGGAGTTCGTTACTACTGGGGCCATGCGTTGTGTCATGGCAAAGTAACAATTCGGCAAGTGCGCGTGGGACATTCGGACATTCGGCCTGCAGTCGAGATGTCGCGGGAGCATAGCAGGGGGGCGCCGAGGCGCCGCTATGGGTGAAAAATGGATGGTGTAACGCAAGGCACATGCGAACGAGAGAGAGAAATAGAGACACACACACAGAGGACGAAGAGAAGAGAGAGAGACACACACACACACAAGTGCGCGTGGGCGCAGGACTGACAAATGCTATGGTGCACCAGATGTACCAACGGGGCGCTTTGACAGTTGCGCTGAATTTCGTGACTAGTGGGGTCATGGTTCTTTGTCATGACAAGTCGATTGTTTAGTTATGGCGTGCGCTTAGGGTTGGCAGCCGCAAGAGTGATGAGGGCACACTTCGCGTTGTGTACTGTATCCAATCGTGGTATACTTCGCGCCAGCACATCGTTGATCCTTCTTTGGTCGTGCGGCGAGTCCTCCTCCTTCTCTTCCTCCTCCTCCTCCTCCTCCTCCTCCTCCTCCTCTTCCTCCTCCTCCTCCTCCATCCCCCAGAACCTTTTTTTGATGATCCTTCCCCAAAAAAACAAATCGCGGAGCGATCCCGTTTTATGTCTGGTGGGTGGGGTGGGGGGGGGGGGGGCCGGAGGATGAAAAGCCCGATTCTGGAGGAGAGAGGAGGAGGACGAGGGCGGGTGAGAGAGAAAGGAGGAGGCGTTCGCCTTCCACCGCCGCCCACCCCCCCCCCAAAAAAAAACAACATAATAAATAAATCGGGATCGCTCCGCTTTTTTTTTTGGGGGGGGGGGTCAGGAGAATCAAAAAACGCGATTCGGAGGAAAGGAGGAAGAGGAGGAGGAGGATAATGATGAGGATAAGGAGGAGGAGGTTGATGAGAAGGAGGTAGAGGAGGAGAAGGAAAAAGAGGAGTAGGAGGAACAGGGGATGGAGAAACGGGAGAACACCCTCCGAGAGACGAGGTACTCCACAATCCCCCGTTCTCTCCTTCTCCTCCTCCTCCTCCCCCTCCTCCTCCCCCTCCTCCCCCCCCTTGCATCTGCCATGCCTGCGCGGGGCACAGCCTGGCAGCAGCGGGCGGGCAAGCGCACTGAAGAGGGAAGCACCGGTGGCGAAGGAGGAGCCAACTGGGCCCAGCGCGGCGCGGCGTGCCACGAGAGCCGCGCCCTGGGCCAGAGAGGCACGGGGCTGCCAGCGACCGGGGGGCACCGCCCCGCCGCACCTGCCGAGGAGCGCCCTCCGCCTCCGAGCCACCGCTCCAGGCGCTCGGGCTCCACGGGCGCAGGCGCTCCGGGAACCCAGGGCGGGGAAGGGGGGGGGGGCGGCCGGAGGCCGGGCAGGGAAGGGGGAGGGGCCCAGGGGCAGGCAGCGGCGGCAGGGGGGGCGCCGGCGGGCGCAGGAGGGGGGGGAGGAGGGCGGTCGGGGAGGGGCGGGCAGGAGGGGGAGAGGAGAGGGAGGGGCCCGAGCGCAGGCGCAGCAGAGGCGCCGCGAAGCGTGGCGGGCGGCTGGCGCGCAAGCCCCGCAGACCGAAGGCGCGGAGGGGTGGCGGCGGGGGAGCAAAGGCCGAGTGGTGTGCGCGCCTCGAGCGGCCAGGCCGACGGCCAGAGAAGCGCGGAAGGCGGCGCGCGCTGGCGGCCGAGCACAGGCCGCCCAGCACTGGTGGTGCAAGGCGTGCCCGAGAGCCCGACACTTGAGCACGCACAGACATCACAGAAGCTGCTCGGACGGTTGCCGGGCACGGCCTGGCGGACGAGCGCTGGGCAGACAGGAAGAAAACCAAGGAACGATGCTAAGGCAGG